CATGGCCGTGTGGGGCCACATCATACACAACACTCCCAAAACCACGATCGACCCGATAAGCCCTGAAGTAGCAGCATCACGCCCTGGCGGCATACCTTGGTCATGGTGAAGATCTATCAGCCGCCAAATAATATGAATGAAACATTGGACAGCCAGGATTAGACTGGCCGTCATGTTACTCTAGACAATTCAATTCTGGTCGTCCTGTCTGGTTTACGTTGGATTGGCTTTGTTTTGGGGTGGGGTTTTTTTTGTTTTGTTTTCAATGTAACTCAGTTTTCTAATTAGAAGAAATTTCGATGGGCCGACGGCAATTGACTAGTTTGTCCATGTTGAAAAGCAACCCATATACATGTTATATTTTAATAAATAAGTCACATTACCTATTCTAACCCACCATGAACTGGAACTTGCATAAATGGAAAATAAAACAGGCTGAAAAATAGAAGCCATCAATATTCATCCTCATCCATAATAATAATGAAACTCTAGGATGACCACGATCGTCTATTACGTTTAGGGGCGAAGGAGAGGGGGTAGGGGTAACGGTACTGCTCTCTTAAGCACAGGCGTTTAAAACGAAAATACCTTCTAAAATAACATAAATGACATTACGTTTTCATATTTACCAGGTCCTATAAATCAGGCTTAGCGTGGTTTGCTGCAGACAAATTCCAATTGACTGACCGCATTTTTAGGGTCAAGTAACCTATTACAGGTATTTTAGCCTTTTCTCTAATGCCACGTCAGTAACAACCGGGTTATATTTTATTTATTTTATTAACCCCCATCTCGCATAAATTATAATAAAATCCAGAAATCATAATTGACATCGCCCCCCACACCCTTTCCCACCCCACCTACACCCACTTACATATTCCCCTCTCTCAACTAAGTACCCCACCCCCTTTATAAAAATATCGAGGTTACAAAGCGTCAGTGATAGACTGTCAGATTTTTCTAACATTCGGTAGGCAATCTTCAAGCACCACCGATTTCTTTTAATTATCACATGTCACATGTCTTGGATATATGTCGATAATTTGATATATGATTACTTTGGAAATAATATATGCCGAAACAGCAGCTAAGATCCGTAGTCTTTATTTGTGGAGGGATGAACAATATACATCCACCTTAACATGTGCTCCATGTGGGCGTATAAAAAATATGTTCAAACCTCTGGCCCCTGTCGTGCTGACAGGTTTCGGCAATAAAGGGACATAACTCTAAAGATATTATTCCGATTTTGCCGAAAAGAAATAGTGATCCTCGTCTTCTCATAATAAAATATAATATTGCGCTGACAAGAAGTGTAGACAGTTGGACAAAAAAGGGCACAAATGAAATGAAATGAAATAGGGTTTAACATCATACATTTTCTACACCAACCGGGCAGTGTGCTATAAGGAAATTTCTGTCCAGACTAAGGCTGTTCTTTTACGTGCACAACGAAGTCTATACGGAACTTCAGTTTTTCCTCCCATCCGAATGACTAGACGCGTTTCCCTTCCTGATTCTGTCATGAACAAGGCAACTGAAAAGAGCAAGGCAACTGAAAGGATCGCGGTATTACCGATTGGCCTACTTTCCAGTTTCTTGGTTAACATTTATCTAAATATGAAAGCCCGTTCATAATGTTTCATATCCTTTCCCTTTTACTGAAGTACATTTTGACAAGAATGTATTGACTTAACTGGCTTAATATTATAGAAATTATCTGAACTTTGACGACACTGAATCGTTGATGCGCGCATTCGGTTTACACACTTTCATTCGGTGTACATCTTTGAACGATACGCATGTTAATTTTTACCATACAAAAGTCTTAACTATGTATATTCCTAAATCAGAAGTGGTATCAGATGTTCTAAAAATTGTAAGCAAATCCTTTCTCGTGCATTACACACGCCAGTATGGCCAACTAGAGCAGTGGTTTGGGTCTTGACTTTAAAAAGACAGTGGCGTAAGTAACAGATGGGGGGAGAGGGGGAGTCGCTCCAGGGAGTGGGTTTTGTTCAATCAAGTTCCTAGGAATTTTCAGCCTCTTTTCCCCTTTTCATTGGGGCAGACCGGCTGGTCTAGCAAGCAACAGCGGTTTAGTCGTTGCATTGAGGCGAATAACCCAGGTCCTGTGTACACGTTGGTTGACACGTGAATCCGACGAGAAATAGGCGGAAAAGTTACTGTCCGTCCAAAAATTCCCTAAACGCACACTGCATGACGCATACCCGTCTCCATTAGCCAGATTGGTACAGAAAAGTAAGTCATTAAACCCCAGTAGATTTCAATTCATGCGATATTGCATGTTTTGTTGAATACAGTTTAGATAATATTTCACTATTTCGTTAGACGGTTTTGTATAGTAACAAATTACGGGTGTAACGTGCATCGGCAAGTCCAAAGGACAATATATGGCGGCATATTAGATTCAAAATTCTAAATTCGTTAATGTCGTGCTATCGTCTAATTTCTAAATTCTATTCATGTAATTTCTAAATTTAGACAATGTAAAATCTAATTTCTTTATTTGTTCAGTGTAAATTTTAATCCTATTTCATTTTATTTCTATTATTAGGACGAAAAATGTCTTCTTCATTTACGATTTTCATGATTAGATAATGTTAGTCCATTGATTAACACCCGGTCGCCAAAGTCTAGAGACGACTACTTCTATGGTTCCAGCAACTATTGCCAAGTCCACCGGCCACCATCATCGTCATGAATACCGGATATTCCCAAGCCTAGCTATCATTCCTATATAGCCCCATCAACCTTCGTCCTGTCTAGTGGCCTTCGCCACAGTCGAGCCATTGTGGCCCATGGACACTGGACATCCACAATCTAGCTGTCATTGCTAGATTCTACTACTATTGCTAAGTCCAACTGTCATCGCTCGGTCTAACGGCTATCGTCGTGAATACTGGACATCTCCAAGTGTAGCAGTCATTGGCAAGTCAGAAGCCACGGTGACTAAGTTTGTAATGCTCTAGCTCACTAAAAAGAAGGTCCTAGTTCCACCCCAAGTTTTCCGATGAGGACATGGCAAGGAACGGTGTCTAATCGGGGTCGTGTGTAAAAGAATCCTTGACTAAGTTTGTAATGCTCTAGCTCACTAAAAAGAAGGTCCTAGTTCCACCCCAAGTGTCTAATCGGGGTCGTGTGTAAAAGAATCCTTGACTAAGTTTGTAATGCTCTAGCTCACTAAAAAGAAGGTCCTAGTTCCACCCCAAGTTTTCCGAGGAGGACATGGCAAGGAACGGTGTCTAATCGGGGTCGTGTGTAAAAGAATCCTTGACAGTTGGAATTCCACTAAGAGTAGGCGGAATTGCCGTTGTCCGGGCACAATTCCCCTATAGCACATAGCGATTGCATTACCAAGCCCAACTGTCAATGCCTGTACAGCTGTCATCGCTCAGACAAGAAGACAAGAAATACATCTGTGAAATCTCTTCTTACCATCGCCGTTCCCTGACTTCGCCTTCCGGTTGTAGACAAGAAGCCGCAAAGACAGGAGGTAATTTCACCTCGCCTTCCGGTTTATATGTGTCATGTGCATTCCTAATATTAAAATTTCAATTCTGGGTTCTCTACGACTGCACATGCCAGATACAAACCGTAAGGCGAGGTGGAAACACATTTTACCTTCGCGACTTAGCCTTCCGTAGACGAAGGGAGATTGGGAGATGTTAATTGTAGGCCGTATGGGGAGGTTGGGGTGTTTCCGGAGAACAAAATGGTCGCTTTATGTAAATGAGTATTTTGGGGAATCCTAACTGAACCCTAACACTTTTTAGAAGATTGGACAACTTGGGTTCAATTTACACCCCTCTTAAAAGGGTTAGTATTCCTCAAATCTTATAAATATAAAGCGACCATTTTAAACTCCGGAAACACCCGAACCTCCCCAATTGGCCTGCAATTAGCATCTCCCAGTTCAGGACGATTTGTGGCTGCCTTAGCACCTTCTCAACACAAAGGCACAAAGGCGAGGGGGGGGGGGCTTATAGGTCTCAATAGATAGTCATTTGGGTGATGTCTGATTGGGGAGGTTCTGGAATTTCCGACGGTTAAGTCCGCAATGGCCGTTTTATATCAATTAGTATTTTGGGGAATACTATCCCTTACCCTTTTAAGATGGGTAAAAGGTACATTGGGTCCAAGTTCAGTTGGACAAAAAAGAGTTAGGGTTAGTATTCCCCAAAAATATTCATTTACGGGAATCGATTCAGCAATGATTTGAAATTCGCGAACCTCCCCAACCGGCCTACAACTAGCATCACCAAGTGCCCTTTGTTAGTCCAAAGATGGGTAAAAGGTAAATTTGATCCAAGTTCAGTCTTCTAAAAAGCGTTAGGGTTAGTATTCTCTAAAAATACTTCTGGGATAGATTCTGCAATCATCAGAAATTTACGAACGTCCAACCGGCCTACAATTAGCATCACCTAGCGCCCTTTGTTAGTCCAGTCGCCATCGCCATAAATACTGGACATAGTCAAGTCTAGCGGCCTTAGCTAGATCAAGAATCCAGGGACCATCGCCGGGTCCAGCGATAATTACTATAGATCCAACGACCATTACCAAGTCCGGGGCCAAGGGACTTTCAGCGACCATTGCCATGTACAGGGCCAAGGATTTTCCAGCGTGGCTCCCCACTGGCGCGAAAGAGCCCTTAACATCAGACATGGCCAAGTCGAGGGACCATTCCTAAATCCAGCGACCATTGCCAGAGATTAGGTCTATCCGCCTTCGCCAGGAATATCTTACATGGCCACTGCTACATCTAGGGTAGATGGCAAAGTCGAGTGCTATGTCTACCGGGCATCACCTGGTCCAGCGGCCGTCCACTACCAGACATCGCCATGTCCAGTGATCGTCCATTGCTACGTGTCGGCTACTGGACATCGCCAAACTAAGATGTCGTTGTCAGGTCAAAAGACTGCTCCATATTGCACCCAGGTTAATTACAGAAACGGGCAATAACTAACAGAAAAAATATATTAACACACTTAAATTTTATTTTTACATTGTCATTAAATTATCAAACATATGTTACAACTATGTAAATATATTTAACATCGAGGCGAGGAGGTTTATCTCCCCTTTTAAGAAAAAAAAAACAATGGACAGACGGATCATTTCTAGAAAAATGCTTGAGCTAGATTAGAGATGTGCATTTACATAACACGCAAAACACTACCACTTTCAGGCGTTGTAATCCGCAGCGAACTTTTGTGAGGTGTATACGTTTGCGTGTGTGTAACTGCACTGGTAATGTAACATGTTACTAAATTACAACAATTAAGTCACGAATGTACATTTTACAATCTGGCCTGATAAATTCAGAAAAATATCTAGGTCTGGTTTGGGAACTAGGGGCTTGTTTCACGAAATTTTAACTCAAGATAAAGTCCAAATTTTAGTAGATACTTCAATTTTGATTGGCTAAGCACTAAAATCAATATAATATTATCCAATCAAATTACTAAAATTTGGATTTTATCTTAGTTAAAATTTATTGAAACAAGCCCCAGGAGGTTACGAAGTTTTCGTGCAACATGGTACATCAGTTGCATATAAAAAAACTATATACATATTTGTTTATAAGTGACAATGGAATAGGTTTACATAAAGAATTTAACGGTACATTGTCATTTAAAATATTTTTACAAATCTGTAACTGAATTTCCGTCAATGTCGATCAATAGTTATCATAAATTATTATAGGCAAGTCATAACTTCACAAAGTTCAGAAAGTCAACTGAATGTACATAAATATTAACCAATCAAAGACTGGCCAACCAAATAGTCCCAAACAGTCCGCGTCGGTCTTTTGGTGTATTTCGCTATTTTGGATGTTTTTCTCCGTAGAGGATTCTCCAAAGGACAATGTACTTACATTATTTGACATACTATTATACAAACAGATTGAATATAATATAATAAAATTATATATATAAACAAGCACTTACATATCAATTTCACTGTCACTACTGCTAACAAATGGACTGTTCTTATCGTCCAATACCTTCTCCTTTAATAAGTTCGTATTGGTTGATACTGCTCGCGTGATCATCTCGTGTTTGTTTTCTAACATCATGTGATTGACCGGAGCCAGTCCAATACAAGCCCGCAATACGTTCTCAATACACGCCCTCTGTCGGAACAAGGCATTGACGACTGGTGTTCCTCGTGGTACCAAAGGCGCTTTAGTGAGGAAACTTAAAATGGACAATACTGCATTGAATCTTTGAAAATCCGAATCACCCTCTACTTTAAACTTGATTCGCTCACACACTTCGGCCAATACGACCAAGTCTATAATAAGGGGTGTGGCTAAGAGAGAGTCCTCGCACGTGTTATGAAGAACGATGGTATTGGTTCCGCCCATCATGATCTCTGATGTATATTCGTCCATGGCCCGTTTGCTATCACCAACATAGGGTACATATTTGATGACGACACAGTGGTCGGGTTTCTCGTTTTTATCGTAAAGTAGATGATTTGATGCAACCATATCATCAACAACATTGCTCTTAGAAATCTGAAAAATATTGTTAAAAAAACACATTAATATAACTTTATAGAGGGAGAGAAATGGGGTTTAACGGCTACTCGACACAAATTAGGTAATTTTGGGAATAACGTATCGTTCAATTTTATTTGAATAATTAGCTTGGGCTTAGGGGTCTTTAGTAGTGGGAGGAAACCGGAAGGTCCGGAAAATCTACGAGAAATCAGCCAATGACAATATTTTATTTTAAGTGTTATTGATTAAGGCACCTGATACGTCATACATAGAGATGGTTAGCATTTCTAGTAAAATTTAAAAGTGGTATCATATGTTCTGAAGTTTTCTCTATTTAAAACTATTTAATGACTTACCTCTTTAGAACGAAATGTTTTTGGTGCCGATAAATTTTTGCCATCATTGTTACCAAGGTGATTGTAGCTAACGATTGAGACTGGTTTAATTCCAGCACTGACCAAAAAATCCACCAAAACTGACTTTATCTTCGTTTGACCAGACTTAAAATCATCACCAGCAATAAAAACTTTCTTCTTTTCGGCAAGTTCGATAACTCCAGGCACAAAAGTGTTTTGTGGGGAACCATTAATGTACGTGACGCCCTCCAGTATACTAGCCACGGCAAATAAAGTCGAGGGGGAAATCTCGCTTTCCTCGGCTCGGATAGAACGATTTAGATTATCCCACGTGTCATTCAAACCCGGTATGACGTCACTGAATCTTTCCGTGTTTGCTGTCCAAAGAATTATTACTTTGTCGACGCCGCTGGATTGTTTGAAGTCTCGAATATCTTTTCTGATTTGTTCAATCATCTGAAGCTTGCTTCCGGTCAGTACATTATTAGCTCGCCCCGCTTGATTGGCAGCGATAAAGTCCGAGATGTAGATAGAGGGTCGTGGAGTTAAATTTTGTAGATAGGGTCGGAGTTGTTCTTGCAAGTTGTAGTCTAATACCTTGGCTCTCGCCATACTGTCAGCTAGATTACACTTGGAAATGTCCCAACCTACAAAACAAATAAAATATAATACTTTAGTAACAACATTCTGGAAGTGATCGATTGTAAGACCCGAAGGTTCCAAATTGACGGAGAGGTTGTGAAAACTCAATAATTCCAGAATGTTCAATCGAGTACGGCCTATACCCTGTCAGTGATGTTGATCAAAACGTATCTCAGTGATTGCGAATTTTGACAAAAAGCCATGACTCGATAATCTGAAATAGATTATCGCATGGTTGGACTTGGATTAACGTTTTGGTGCGAAATTAATCGATCATCGTCTGATTCGATTATCGTTTGGGAGTGGCGGGGGTAGGGAGATGCATCGATTAGATTTTAGTATATTACGCTTCAATTATCACATGACCCGATCATTGTGTGGTTCGATCGAACAGTTCGATTATCAATTGTTACAAATTTGTTGATCACACAAAATGCAGTTTAAAAAAAGAGAAATTTTGTGTGAAACTTACCATCAACAACGATATCATTAGGATCCACCATTGGTAACAGCTGTTTTAGAGGCACATAAACTTCTTCTCCGTCATCGTCATTACCGATACAAACTGTACTAGCTTGGGTTATACTTCCATAATAATTAGCTTTCTTTTCTCCTTCTTTAGTCCTCCATTTTAAACCGTGCTTATTAGCCAAGATGGCGGCGGTGAATGTTGAACCGTTGTTTCCACCCCAACCAACGAGCATCACTCCTAGTTTGGGTACATTTCTTTCAGTACGAAACGTATATTGAGTCTTCGTTGGTTCAACCACGTAACTCCCATTTTCACGCCTAACTTTGGTGTTGGCGTAGGAATATTTAGCCTCAATATGAGAGTCCGTGTATTTTACATTCGGGCTTTCAACTGTTATTCCGGACATCTTTTCTTAAGGTCGATCAAGGTTATTCTGAAAAATATCACAAAAAAAAAACAAATTAGGAAATTGAATCGAACAGCATAGTTTGTATTTCCGTATATCTTCGTATCAGAAAAACAATGCACCTCAGATTAAGCAGAATAAATAATACTTGTTAAGTCGGAAATCTGTAACCGATCCCCTGCTCCGCCATTTGGGTGAAGAACGCACCGTCAAACAAAACGAACCGGAATAATCACATCCCAGAAACAGGTCTGTCAAATTTGGTTAAAATTCATCAAGTGATATAGGAAAAGTCGGAACAATTTGTATATTTACACCCTAAAGGTAATACCGTCCCATAAATGCAACTGCATTTTGAAAGATAGGTTGTCAGGCAACGAAACATACGCCCACAGCAAGTAAGCCGTCCGGGCAGCCAACAAGAGTTATCGCATATATTTTTTCTTTTGTCGGTAATAAAACATTTATCATTAAAATCTGATTAAGACTTACTCATTAAGCAATTATCAGAAAATAATTAGAATGCTAACGTTTAGTATACAAAACATTTAATATCATGGGTTTAGCCGTTCCAAGTTATCATAAATAATTGAAAATCAATATACTTGTTCGTATTAAAACCTTAAGCCCTGTGTTAATCTAAAGTCAATCGAATGATCACGTTGGCCTGTAGAGTATCCGCAAGATTTTTCGAAGTAATCTAGGGTCATAATAATCAATAATCAGTAATTATCGGAAATCTTTGAAAATACATAGGTGTTATTGTCTCATGATCGTAAAAACTATGTATAAATTTACCAGCGGCTGTCAGGCAGGATACGTCCACATTTTGCAAGAGATGGATAGCGATCCGATATGTGCGAATATCGACAGGAACTAAGATCTTTGGGTTATAAAGATATATTTCAAGTTTCATCAAAATCTGATCAAAATTATGACCTACCATATTTTTACATTATTTGCGTACGGGGGGCGATCATTTTGTCCAGCAGTTTTGGTCCGATTTTCACGAAATTCGAACCCAAGCGTCATTACAGTGGCTCAATACCACTCTTGTTGTAACTGAATAATATGCCCCAATCTTTATTCTGGTCAACAAATTGTACTATTTTAGAATATTTCAATTAATTGATGATACAAATTTCATCTTAACACACCTTATTTAAAAATTTTGAAAAATTCAACATAATGGTTTGAAACGTCTAAAGTAAACCTTTTCAAATGAAACTTCGATTTAAAAATATTTTCGAACCCTCTGGACAAGTAAAATAGGATGTAATGGATAATTTACACAACAGGTAGGACACTAACACATCTAGTACTTAGATAGAGATATTATTTATTTTCTTGGGCTTTCAAGCCAGCAAGAGTGTTATTGTCCCTTTAACAATATTGCTATTAGTAGAAAACAATTCAATAAATGGAAATTTAAATCACGCGATTCGCCTATACCATGCTATACAATAACAGATAGTTATGTAATCTTAACCTTGAGACGCATATTTGATTCGTCCTTGGCATTGGTGTCTGGCGAGACGACCTTCTCGAATATTCTCTAATTATAGAAAGACTGCCGAGTGCATACACACTAAGCCATGGTTTACAGCATGTGTGACATTATTTACTTACGATGCGCCGGTATCGACATCTTTAAGCGCATTTAAATTTCGATGGTTGTTGCCAGTAGTAACATGCGGGACTGCAGATTCAGATTCAGTTTCTTACCTTGGCTATATGGTTTTATCCCGTCTCGTCGCATTTCAAACGAGTCCCTGTGCGCAAGCGAATTATTGAAAATTAAAAATGCGATTACTAGTCTCGATATAACCGAACCCTGAGTGAACGCTGAAACATATTTCTGCTCTGTAAAGATTGCCGAAAATTATTCATAAACAAAACACAGAGCTTGGAATTTTCTTCATTTATTCAGCGACGATCATATAAAAAGAAGCGGATATTAAACTAAAATAAATATGGTAAAATCAAGCATGCAGTAGACTTTTTTAATACAAATTTGTTAGAGCGCAATACAGAAATAATAATCCGCCTACCTGTATTGGAAACAGATAATATATTACAAATCTTCAGGTGAAAAGATACTTTTAAAATCTTCAGGTGGAAGAATCGATAGTAATTGAAGTCGGTTTAAACGTGTTCGTCGGTCTTATGTTAAGATGTCGCTGTGGTAAGCGATCTTGTTAGTCTCGGTGTGAATGAAATCCGCTGTGGTCGACGGTCTAGTTATTCACAATTATCTATAATCAGCAGTGGTCTCGGTCTTGCAATAAATAGTCTTTAATATGTCTGTTTAAAATATTATTGTGCGTAGATGTTTCGGTACTTCTTTCCAATGTTTTGTGAATGAATTCACTAGTTGATATTTTAAGCAACTGTAAACGATTAGATATTTTACTACATTTATACCAGGGATTCACATTTAAAGAAGCGTCTGGAAATTTCCACAAGATAGCCAGGAATGCCGTGTATTTTTATCAATAATTAATGACGTGGTTTGAATATGCTAATTCCCGATCTTTCTAGAACATCGTACATTAAGGGGAGGGTGGGCCTTGGAAAATTCCAACCTGACAACGCTACGTAAATAGACACAGGGGTCTGACGTAGTGCTAAAAGACATGTGAATTTGTATTCACGTGGCTGAAACCTCGACATGTATTTGTTAAGCTGACACAGCATCCGTGAAGATTACAATTTATAGATGTTTATAATACATTCCAAGGATGCTAATTACTTATAGTCAGAAAGCCGACCTCACACACGGCGTTATGTTTATATTGTGATGGCCTGCGATAGGACGGACATAAGTCGTACCGTGTGACGATTAGATGCTATGTCACGATCAGCTAGTATATGCCACGATTAGATGATATGCTTAGATTAGATATAATATGCCACGATTAGCTATGCTATACCACGGTTAGCTATAATATGACATGATTAGATAAAATATCCCACGATTATCTAAGATACTCCAAGAATTGCTATAATATGACACACTTTATCTATAGCATGACATGAGTAGCTAAAACACGATTAGCTATATATGTCACCACAAGCTATGTTATGCGGTGATTAGCTAACATAGTCAAAATGTTTCGCATGGAAAATTGCAGCGTGTGAAGCCGGCTTTAGTGTTGACTTCTAGAATCTTCGGAGACATTCTCAACCTAACATACCAACATGTTCGACGCGTAAAGTCCCTGTGTTGACAGTCGCCATATATTTTGACGTAAATCAGTAATTTTCCAACCATAGTTGGCGGATGATCTGATACAAGAGTTGATATTGATTTTCTCTATATTGAAATTCCGCCAGAACGCAACGCGCCCATGTTTTATTAACCGAAATCAACCAATCCATCGAGTAATAATCTTGTAATAACATTTTGAAATAAAATTTTGAGATATAATTTTTGTGTTAATGTGTTTAAGTGGGACATGGTCAGACATTTTTAGAACACGGGGGTATTGGGTCGAATAGTAAATGCCGACTGGGTCAAGTTAAGAGTAGACAAGAACAATGGGGCGTACGTCTCACAGAAGACATACGTAGAAACATCAAACAATGCAGCAATCTGCGCAGAAAACATGTGCCTTACATGTATATAATACATAACCACACTGATCAGCAGTGAATATTTGACATCAGTTAGAATTAATTACCTCGCAGCAAACTGCGCAGAAAACATGTGCCTAATAATAGTACATAGTCACACTGATCAGCAGTGAATATTTTACACCGGTAGTTCGGATTAATTACCTCGAAGTATTAGGAAAATAAATAAAGGTGTTAGAAGTAGTGTAAATGGGTAGGCTATATAAAATGAGTAAAAGGTACCATTCTGCCCGGAAAGGTTTACGCTACAACGTCTTATGTAAACAATGCACGCGCCAATGACCAACGCTGTATGATGTGACGCCACATGTAGAAGGCATACTTGAACTTATAAAGGTCAGTCATCTTATACAGAGTTATTAGAAGGCTTTCGCGATACCTCTGTGAAACAGATTATACATAGCCTCTTTGGTAGCGCTATGGTAGTGATTGACGCCAATATTGTTCAGAAAAAAAAGTAATTTGAATGAAATTTTCAATATATTCATTTTTCATGGACAATTATAGCAAGAACAACCAGGCTGATGACCCCCGTCGGTATCCCAAAATAAATAGATGACACATATTGATTAATTGCACATTTATCTCTTTCAAAAGTATCGAGCAATCAAATACTTAGTCTAAACATAAAATTTTCACGATCAAATTTAGTCAAGGTTTTGAAGTAACTGGTAGTGAAACTATACACTATGTTTCGTCACTCTCCATCAGTTTGAATCAAAGTTATCTTATTCAAAGGCATCGACCAATGAAATTGCTTAGCTCAGCTTAGCTTTAGTTGGGAAATGTTAATCATTGAACTCAGTCAAGACATTCATCTAATGTACATCAAGTTTAAACATTCTTTCTCAATTAAAAGCAGAGTTGCTATCTGTTATGGTCCAAAGTCTTGACCAACCAAATTTCTTATCGCTACTTAGGCTAAGCAGAAAATGCTCATTATCGAACTTAGTCAAGGTATTGATGTAATGAAATTATACAGTTAATTAGAACTAAAGTTATCGTGCACCAAAGCATCAACCAATGAAATACTCATCTTCGAACTCCATCACGTCATTCACCTAATAAACACCTACACCAAGTTTGGACATTCTAGCTCTATTAGAAGGAGAGTTATTGTGTCCCAAAAAGTGTGACGAACAGACAGACAGTGACAGACCCATTTCATTAGTCCCCCGCTTTCTTCCAATGGCGGGGGACAATCACTTACTTTGATACTTGCATTCTATAGCCATTGTTGTGTCATCTTAAAGGGACAATAACACTCTTGCTGGCTTGAAAGCTCCAGAAAATAAATAATATCTCTATCTAAGTACTAGATGTTTAAGTGTCCTACCTGCTGTGTAAATTATCCATTACATCAAATTTTACTTGTCCAGAGGGTTCGAAAATATTTTTAAATCGAAGTTTCATTTGAAAAGGTTTACGTTAGACGTTTCAAACCATTATGTTGAATTTTTCAAAATTTTTAAATAAGGTGTGTTAAGATGAAATTTGTATCATCAATTAATTGAAATATTCTAAAATAGTACAATTTGTTGACCAGAATAAAGATTGGGACATATTATTCAGTCACAACAAGAGTGGTATTGAGCCTTTAAGGTGAGACTATATCTATTTACCAGTATTTTCTAGTAATGATTCCACTACTGATATTATCTTCCGTCTTGCTCCAGTAGTGGGCCGTCCTAAGGCCTTCCTTTGAGAATGTTTTCTAGACATTTGACTACAAAAATGTTACTGGCCTATAACTCCCTTAATTTCCAATTACACTGACCCCAAACTGTACTGTACATAGCTTAACATATAATAAACCAATTCTCGTTGAGATAAAGGTGAAATCTTGCCGTAAAATTATATGATTTGATTATACCCAACTGCTAGGCGAAATTTCTGTTCAATTTAAAATGGCCGTCGAACCAGAATCACGTGGTATCATTGCCACTCGAAAATACAGAAAAGCTGTTCGGTAAGATAAGATTATGATTTCGGTGTTCCCTCTTCACTATTTGTAACATAATTACTTATTTCCATGCAAACTGTGATGATATGTGTTGAAAATTTTGCAATTGAACCTAATTTTACTTGCTCAAAGATTCGAACAGTGTATCAATTACAGCCGTGGCTAAGAATTAGCACGGCTACAAATTGCAGCAAAGTATTTTCTTGCCTAATTACTGGGTACTGGACGCTGTTTCTCGAAATCGTAACTAAAGATAAAATCCAAATTTTAGTAGATACTTCAAATTTGATTGGCTAAGCACTAAAATCAATCTAATATTATCCAATCAAATTACTAAAATTTGGATTTTATCTTAATTAAAATTTCGTGAAACAGGCCCCGGTTCTGGAAAATAATGCCGATATTCGGACTGATGTAAACGCCGAAATTTCAGGGTTGGAATTTGTCAACAGAAAACGAGAAGATAGAATATGCAGGCATGTGTAATGGTACGGGAGCTGCTGTGACTCAATGAGTAAGACTATGGCTCGCTAACCTGGTGGTCCTGTGTGTAAGAGATGGTACTATTTGGTTCCTTCTGGAAAAATCTGTTGTGAATAATATCGTACTTCAATAAGCAAAACTGTCAAGTTTTACTTCAAAACAGCTATTGATTATTGCAATGTATTACATTTCTGCCATATCCAACTACAATTAAGCATATAGTCCTACCTGACACGGGTACAAACCATCTCTTTTAAATCGAAGCGTTAAAAGCTGGCTTTAATTGCCCGACATTTTAAAAAAGAACAGGCTTGACGTGTTTACAGCCAATCAAAATACGCGACTAGATAACCTTTATGGGTCGCGCATGACTAATACATCGTGATAATGAATGTCCGTATCAGTTATGTTAAAAACACGGCTTGATTAACTTTACTGACAATATTTACATATGTTTAATTAGTTCCAATAGTATAAAATTAACTTATTTTGAAAACATATCTCAATTTTTTATAGCTACGTTCTGTAGTAATATTGATGGCGAGATTTGTACAAAACAGCACATGTATAATAATATCATGGTCTTGACTAATTATTGTTACAGATTCATAGACAAGCAATACAGTACGTGAAACAACAGAAATATATGATCATATTATCATACATGACTTGCTTGCACTAAAAGATTAATAAACACATTTGTCATATGCCATCTTAAAGGTCAGGGATGGAATGTGTTTGTTGACCAAATTAGGAAATAATCCCTGTTGGTATACAAGGTATGAGGCATGTATATTCCACATTTGGCTAATTCATGACGTAATACTAGACGATCACAAGGCTAATAAAATATGTAGCAGAGAAGAGAGTATGTGTCACACGTTGGATGTGGGGAGTTTTTGGCATGTTGGCTTTCCACATCTAGCCAGCGACTCGTAGCACTACATGGTACTACACTAATTAAAATTTCGTGCCCCCCTACCTCTAAGTTGTGGGACATAAGACCGGGTGAGAGCCACGTTGGCTAAGTGGGTAAGGCGCTGGCTCGCTAGCCTGGCGGTCGGGTGTTTGATCCCTGCATCGGCCGAGATAGTTCATCGGTATTTCCGGCATGATTTACGGTTGACAGTGGTGCAGGACAGAGAGTCTGGTAAGGGACACCGTATAGTCGTTCGGATGGGACAAAACACCGACGCTCCGCGCACAAATGTCCGTGCACGTAAAAAAAAAACGTTGGCAAATGGAATTCGATATAAGAATAGAAAGTAGCGTCGCTGTCAAAATTTCCTTCATAGCACACTCTAATGCGTATGGC